ATCACTTGTTGGAAAATGCAATTTAAAAGAACACTTACCTTTCTTTTCATTTGCAAGTTAACAGACACAAGCATCACACGAGAGTCGACAGTAACGATTTGAATACCTTGAAATGAAGTTTTATCAAGGTGTCACAAACTCCAAAGAAAGCCTCACCACGTATCTACAAATGAGACCCGTCTATAATTTTTTTTACTCCAAGAAACTCATCGATTGGATCTGAGTAAAACAGAATAGCAATATAAACTAGATACTGTGGAACGAACGTATTCTGCCCTCGTCCTTTCCGATTAAATTGTCGAAACATGAGTTCAACAGTTGGGCGGATACTGACACAATCTTTCAACCAATCAAACTCACAATCATGTAGGTTAAAAGGTGACTGAGGTCACACCATCATACCGACCAACAAGAGGTTAGCCTGCTATCACATGAACTAAAAGAAAAACCACCGAAAAATCTTTTACGCTTCTGTTTTTGCAACCCAGAACTCGTAACAGATGATTTGTGACAAGTGGGACTAGGGATCAAACGCTATCACCACGACGTTGGTTAATATGACCCTACTTTTAGGCCAATATTCTTCTCTCAACACCTGATGGTCAGTAAACTCAGCCACCTCCCGACTTTGGGTCCCGATGAAGTGTCAGGAGGGATCGGTTGGGTGGAACTCCGATGCCTAAAATCGACAATTTGGAGATGGCTACTACGGTAAAATGACCAAGAGGGATACGTACCTAGTCGGCTATTTGTTTAATCCTCCTTTGTGGTTGAGCAACCGCTTAGGTTTTCTTCTACTATATCTTCGAGGGATGATCTGGCCTCTGCGCCACACCAGAAGCCCCAAGCCCTCCTGTACGACAGCAATGACTAAGCTGCGCAAGTTTCAAGTATCCATTTATCCTCAGGCAAAAAGGCTCCACCAAAAACGTCTCGCCGTCATACCCCCCGCAAGCAAGCCGATGAAGAAACGTGCAGTACGTACGGATAATTAGGATCTTGGCGGTCTCACTTGTGTGCATTAAAGTACCACGAGGATACGCAACAGCAGAACGTGGCGGATAGGAATGGAGAGACGATCCTCACCATTGAAACCACAAAATTCACGTTCATTCCAATGTTATGTGTATATATATCTATATATATATATACTTAAGGACGTGTACTTTGAATATGCCGAGAATACAAGGAGTTAGAAGGGGCGGGAGACGAGTTGCGATTGGACAATAATATAAAATGGCGACAGCCATGATAATAGCATTAGCAGCCACAATATACTAATAGTAGGAGAAAAGAAGAGGTGAAAAGAGGGCAAAATAAAAAGAATCTTTACCATGTGTGTTACTAAGCGAACACGCACGCACATACTACTCACAGCGGTGGTATTACTAGTAATACACATATATGCATATATAGATGGCATCAATTGTTAGGAGGTTATAAGCATAAACCTGATTCGTTGTGGTAGAGGGGAGACAGATAACAGGGAGTAAAGAGGTGTTCCATAATTTCTAATGCATACGTATATAGGTATATATATATATAAGGGTTACAGTACATAGTCTGTACATTGGAGAAGGCGGAGGGAGCGGCGTGGAGATGAGGACAAAAGATCACAGCTAACCATGATTGTTGGGTTGAGATGAGGCCAGACAAAATTCAAGGGAGAGAGAGGGAGGGAGGAGCAAAAGGAGCGTTTAAAAGTAAACCATAGCGACACCGCATCATCTTATCAACATTAGCCTAGGGGAGGAAAGAAAGAAAATCAATGCCAGTAAAAATGACGCCTAGGAGAGGAGGTAAATCCCATTGTTCTTCATAAATTTCACAGTGTCTTCTGCCTCATCGTTTCATCTGAGATGCCACGGCTGCGGCTGCTGCAGCTAGCATAGAACGTTGTTGAGCTGCAGCGGCTACTGCATTCACCGTAGACTGCCAGTCCGACGCTGATGCTGCCTCAGAGTTAAGGAAGGTAGGGCCCTCGGGTGCGCCCAAACCTCCACCGCCTCCTGCTGTTGCTCCATTGACGCCAACGCCAGATGTCGCCCTGTACATTCCATCGTCCATTCTAAATACTATAAGCCAACAGTATAACGATGTGGTTAGACAGAAAGACGAGAAATTGCGGGTAATTTGGAAATATCCTAAGCCTCAAGGTTACGCAAACGAAGCAAACAGAATGACAAGAGGAATACCGAGTCGCCGATTTTGCATGAAAACTAGTCGAACGCCTGTTGACCCCTTCTTTTACCATCAAAACTTGTCCAGAAACGGCCTTGTAACATCAACAAACCTATCTGACGACGTCCCGAATTCCGTACAAGAAGGTAGTAGGTGAGAATAACAAAATCCGACAAATTTATAAACAGTCAGGCTATAAATGTCACAACGACAACGTTTCAAATGGAACCCATTTCACGATCGCAACACACAAAAAATAGGTTGGATTCAGCCGGTAGAAAAAGCATGAACTACCGGTACTCGCCGGCCAGATCGATAAAGAGGAGCCAAGAGGATGGAAACGAATGAGAAAAGTCTTTAAAAAATTTCAGAAAAAAAAAATCATGAAGCACAGAAGAGCGACTGGATGATTTCAGTTTATATCTCAAAATTATTATTTTCCTTGTACAACGGTCATCGGCATCTGTCTGCAGAAAGGTTACAACACTCCACTTTGCCACCAGGAGGTACATGAAGGAAGCAATAACGATTTGGAGGTATCCAAAGGATACCACGGAACGGTAACATCTAGATGATAAACAAGCCATAACAAGTTGTAATGACATCCTCGTGCAAGATCCTTAAATGATAACCAGGGAAGAAGTCGTTGACAATGCCTTGACAAGAGTACCAATCGAAAGATTTCTCATGCTGTCAGAGACAATTACAAGGGGAATAATTTTAGTATAGGAGCGGCGATGAGAAGGCACAGGCTGCTTGATTGCTAAGCGGATTAAGGAGGGGAGAGGAAGAGCGTGAGAAAAAAAATTCAACTGCATGAATAAGTGAAGAGTCAAAAGCTGCAATGGCTAAAAATATTAAACTCCGAAATCCAAAAAAAAGCGTTCCAAAGGAAACCAAACAGTGCTAAGCTAGACCCAGAACCACAGATTACACCCAGCCTTCTCCAAGGTTTGTACCAGTGACCTTAAGTTTCGCCTCTCAGAAGGTGCTCAGTAGAACAGCAATTAGCTACACGGAAGTGGAACTAAGGATCTCAATCTTTATTACTATAGCTTAATGAAGCAGCAAAAGGCATGACTTTCAACAAAGATCACAAAAACGGCTTATTGTTGTAACTCCTAGACACTTGAAGATCACAAACATTTACTTACTTGCGTGAACACATGTCAGCCAATGGAACTTCGACATGACAACCTTTGGTTTGCTTCTTGTACGAGTGCTTTCTGATACATTTTCCGCTTCCACATTATCAAGCGACAAAAAAGTTCACTATCATGTGACGCAGTCTTGAACTTTATCAATACAAGCAAAAAAATCAGAGGCACAAAAAAATGAACTGATTTAACTAGCTTTCACTATCTCCTGGCTACTCTTAAACACAAGTGGCAATGTCACGCAGTCTCGCTAAACACAGAGCTCTGCCGTACTCTATCCCGGACACTGACCCCTGCCCC